GCCGCCCAGGTTTGTCTTTGCGGAGCCCCCCGGGCCCCTGGAGCAGTCCTACGCCGTGGGGGCCACGCTGACGTACAGGTGCCGCCCAGGGTACACGGCGGCCATGGGCAAGTCCCCCGTGGTCACCTGCACCCCTGACTCCACCTGGTTGGCGAACCCCGACTTCTGCATCGGTGGGTTCCCCCCTCGGGGGCTCCTGGGATTGGGGGGTGGGGAGACACACATCCCCTGCTGCACCCCAGACCCCAGCACAGCGGAGGGTGCTCCCCACGTGGCTGGTTTTAGGGCGGTTGAGAGCAAGTGCGTACCCTGCCTGCCTGCCTGGGGTTGCCCTTTCCACTTTGGAACGTTAATCTCTTGGGGATGATCTCTGCCCTTTTTAATTACTTTACCATCTGGTGTTACAGTGTAAGTGCTGTGATATATTTACATAGGAACAAGGTACGGGGTGGGAAAGGCTGTAGGAGTCTGTGGTCCCTAGGGCGGTCAGTGGGTCCCTCCCCCGTCCCCTTCTCCTTCGCGCTGTTTCCTTTCCCTGTGGACCAAGACCCGGCGCCTTTATCAGTTTCCTTTCTCAGTAAGCGTATAAACCTTGGCTCTTCTTATTTGTTCTCGGCTTTATTTGTGCTTTTATTTGCTTTCTATTTGTGATTTAACTTTCAGTGGTACTTGCTCATGAGGCGAGTTATAAACGGTCAGTGAGTCTGTAACGCCACCAAACAGCGCCGTCCCCTGCATTTCACTGTTGTGCTATGAAATAAAGCTAATGCTGAGCACTTGCCCTTCTAGGAAAGTCCTGCGGTCCCCCAGACATCGCCAATGGCAACTTTAACCACACGGTTGAACTCCTGTTTGGGGTGACAATAACCTTCACCTGTAACAGCGGGTAAGTGCTGGCCCAGGCTCCCGGTGAGTCTGTGGAGCCAAGTCTGGGAGGCAGCACCTGCGGGAGACTCGGAGGCTTTTAATACCTGGGGGCTGTTGCTTTGGCACAGCGGGAGGTGTTCAGGGTGGGGGGCTGGTGGGGGTCAGGCTCTCTCCTGCTCTTGCTTTTGCCAAAACAGGTTATCTTCTGGGCATGAGAGCGCAGTCTTTGCAGATCGCTTTTCGGCTGCTTTGCAAAGAATTTTATTCTTTTCCTGTTGGTGCTCATTCGTAATTCAGCGTTTGCCGCTGTGCAGTGGGTCCGGCTGTCGACATCTTAGCTAAGGGGTCTCGGGAAAAGAGGGCTGTGGTGTCCTGGGGATGCCGGGAGCTGGGCGAGAGGGGAAGGGAGCAGTTAGGATAGTCAGTGACACCTGGCTCTGCTCCGAAAAGGAGGTGCTATTTGGATCTGCCACTGCACGGCACGGGGCTGGACAGACTCAGGGTGGGGATGCCGTCTTGCTCGCAGACCCGCTGAAAGTATTAAGTTCCCTCTGTCTGTACCATGTACTGCATCTCCTTAGGTACTGAGAAAACTGTATTTTATAGGAGGACTAGCTGCTTTTCCCCTAGGGTTCAGCTCCTCCAGACAATACCATTAGAAGCTGTACAACCTTCTGGATTTCCCAAAGGTTTTTTCACTTTTTTCAAGGAGATTCAACCTTTTCTTTCCTTAGGTACCAATTAGTTGGGAGGCCGTCTGCACAATGTGTGCTTCAAGACAATGAAGTTGCTTGGGATCAAATTCCATACTGTGCCAGTAAGCAGATGTTAAATGTTTTGTGTACAACTCTTCCTCAAAGCTGTTACAATACATATCTGGTAGTTTGGGGAACGGTGGGTGGATGCTCTCTTCTTGGCACCTAGTGCAAATTACAGTAGCCTTTAATGAGACTGACTCCTACTTGTCCCCCAAACAAGCACTCTTGGACAATAGATGCTGTTTTGCCGTTTTACCATTTATCCATTTAAAAAAGCCCTGGAAAATGTTCAGAATTTAAAGGCGCCTTTAAGACTTTAGGTTGAGATGATTGCTTTAGGGCTGCTTCCTTGTTTTCTTTGGCTCTTTTTTTTGTTGGGTGGGTTGGTTGGTTTGGTTTCTTTAGTAGCTAGAGCTCAGTTTCATGTTCGATGGAAATGTTCTTGCAGCTTCTTGCTGTTGCTTTTCCATGCAGTTATTCGCTGTTTACCACCTCCTGCGATCGAGAATGGGCAGTTCACCGCTGAGGACGGAGACTTCACCTTCGGCACGGCTGTCACCTACCACTGTAACAGCGGATTTGCTCGTATTGGAGATGCCACTATTCACTGTACGACGGGTGATAACCTCGAGGGAACGTGGAGCGGTCCAGCCCCTGAATGCAAAGGTAAATGCTTTCTTTCTCTCCTTATTCTTTTGACTTTATTTCTCATCCCTGTCCCCATCTGTACTTTCCCCATGGGTTGCCAAACGGGAGAAGGTTGATCTGAGGCTAAGAAAAGATTCCCAGAAAGCTTAATGCAGTGGTCTCCCGAGCCGGGGGCAGGGGCAGGCCTTGCTTTAGTGGATTCTTCAGCCCCCAGAAAGCCTCCTTCTCCCCACCCATGCCCAGGGCTTCCTGCAAATGAAAAATGAAGCTCTCCCGTGTGCAGTTTCTTGATGACGTCTCTGTTCACGGAGTACTTGCACCCCGCTGGGGACCTGCCTCTCTCAAAGTGAGAGGGCGGCAGTTCTCTGTGAGCTGCTCCTGTAACGCCTCTGGTGTCACTGCAGGGCTCTTCCTTCTTGTAGTAAATATTCTTGTGGTCTTACCTTCACTTCCAGTGGTCAGATGTGTAAATCCACAAGTGAACAATGCGAGAAGGTTATCTGGCTTCGGCACGGCGCACACGTATAAAGATACCGTGGTCTTTGAGTGTAATCCTGGTCATTTATTGAACGGTAGTAGTGTCGTTACTTGTGAAGCGGACAGTACCTGGAAGCCGCCTCTGCCAACCTGTGACCCAAGTGAGTACAAACAAATTTATTTCTGTGAGCAGTTCCAATGAAATAGGTCTTAAGAGCTGCTGAGCAGATCCGCTTCGGAACCTCGTGCACCTGTAGCCATGCCCTTGCAGAGCACGCTGGCTTGGGCCCTCAGTGGGGCAGCCCCAGCCAGTTACACGTTTAGACCTGAAGCTATTTATTTGTGAAATGATCCCAAAGTGCACTGAAAGGCGGGAGAATTGCCTTCTACGCCTGACACGCTTGCTTCAGCGGCTTCCCAACCGAGATGCTGCCCAATCTCCATCTTTTATCCAGTTAAGCAAACTGATACATGCTGCTGTTTGCTGAATGGGTTGGATGCAAACGGTATCCCAGACACTGACATTCAAACAGGTTAAAATGTCGTCTGTGCCAACATGTACAGTTTGCTGTTGTTTTGCGGACCCTCTGGGTACGCCTGTAACTAGCCTTGCTTTCATCTCCAATTGTTAGTCCTCTGTGGTCCTGCTCCACACTTCCCTTTCGCTGAGTTAACAAGGGCTGTGGGTGACTCCTCTCTTGCTGGAACTAAGCTGACGTATCAGTGTAAACCGGGTTATACTGCAGCAAGTGGAAAGTCTCCTGTCGTCACTTGTCTGGAGGATAGAACTTGGTCTGCAGACCCAGACTTCTGTATACGTGAGTATCTCTGTTCCCCTCCTGTCCTGACTGATGGTGTGGGTGCTCTTACTTGTGCTTCTTAATTCAATCAACTGTGAAATTCAGGATTTCAATACTAACTCATGCTGTGAGGCCTTAGGTGCAATATTCTCGTACAATTCAGAACTTAAGTTCACGAAGTGCAAGGAGCAAGGGAAGAGCAGAAATTATAGAAAAAGGTCACAGGAGGAAAGTTTTCTTCCTGTAGTTACCAGGGAAAGATGAAGATAATTGGAAGTTAGAACTCTGTCTGCTCCATTTGATAGAATGCTGAAATCAAGTGTTATGAAGTCAGTGCAGTAGTGTTATGTGAAGCTACGAATGGCTGAAGCGTTTCTTCTAGCCTGATTAGGCACTTCAGTGGCTCATTTCATGGGGTGAGATCCTGGAGTTGGGGCTAATGGGCAGTAACTGAGGTCCAGTACCAAGCACGAAAGCTCAAAGTATTTTCCGTTGCTGCTGGATGCGCGGCGTTTGGTGGTTCCTCCTCCTCCCCGTGCACTTCACCTTTGCAGTAGGAGCAGCACTCAGACTCTCTTGCCGATGTTCCTCCTGTAGGGCAGCTCCCTGACATCCTCTGTGAAGAACCCCCCACGATTGACAACGGGATGCACAATGGCACGAAGGGCACAGCCTTTGTCCCCGGCTCGGTTGTCGTTTATAAATGCAGGGACGGCTTCACCCTTGCTGGAGCAGCCTCGATTCACTGCACAGCAGATGGTCAATACCGTGGAGTCTGGAGCAAGCCCACTCCTGAATGCAAAGGTGATGTTCCTCCTGCGGGACAGTTCCCTTCTGTCCTCTGTAGAAAGCCACCTACGATTGACAACGGGATGCACAATGGCACAGAGGGCACAGCCTTTGTCCCCGGCTCGGTTGTAGTTTATAAATGCCATGATGGCTTCACCCTTGCTGGAGAGGCCTTTCTTCAGTGTGTTGCAGAAGATCAGTACAAGGGAGTCTGGAGTAAGCCCACTCCTGAATGTAGAGGTGACTGTCTCCTGTGTCTGTCTTGCCTTCTCTCTGTCTTCAAAATACCTATGTTTTCCTTTCTCTGTGAATCCTCAAATCAGCCAATTCTGCTAAGGAGTAAGCGATGCTTCCTGCAACAGCTTCTGTTAAAATCTGGTGCCAAAAGGGCATGACTAGGTTGCAGCACAGGCTCGCAGGCTAAGGGAAATGTCTGCTGGTAAATACACCTGGGCTTTAGCAGGTGACCATCCGTGGTGGTGGGTTGTGCAGGGGTCCTGTTCTGCCTGTTGCTTGAATTGTCTTCCATGTGCATTGGCTCTGATTTGAGATACTGCATGTGGTGGAGTTTGGTGAATCATGGTGCTGAATGGGTGCAGAGTTTCACGTTTTGGTTCACTTCCTTTCCAGATGGAGCGAACATGATCGTTGTTGGTAAGTAATACATATCCCTGAAGCCCTGTACTGCCCTCTGGCCTGTTTTTATTATATTGTCTCCTGTGTGTTCTGCTTGAAATAAGCTTAAAAGCCTTCTGCTACAGTCTCTTGTCGTACTTTTATTGTTGTTGCTTTAAGATGATGCTGTGAAAAGGCCAGGGGGCAGGGGCGGTAAAGGGGACCAGGGAGGGAAAAGATGGCTGAATAAGTGTGGAGTGAAGACTGAAGCTTCTTACTCGTCTCTTGTAGGAATCTTCCCCATCCTTCTGGCAGTGCTGATTACGAACATCTAAATTAGGGACTTGGGAGGCACCTCGTAGACGTTTGGACTCGATCATGCTGATCCCCGTGCTCTGCTTTTCCGTCCTGTGAAACCGGCCTTGAAGCAGCAACCCACAGACCCCGGATGACAAAGCCCAGACGCTCGCTGCCCGGGAGGCGCTCGTGCTTTTGGCTGCAGCAGCCGCATGTCACATTAGATGCAGCAGCTCATGCGCGGGGCTGGGCTGGGCCGGGAGACTTTCCACCCCCCAGCTGAGAACTCAAGGGCAGTTGTCCCCACCTTAAGTCACAATGATGCCAAAGGCCTTCCCGCTGCAATAAAGTAGACTCAGGAAAATCCCGTGCTTTGGGTACCTCTGCATGTGCAGTTTCTCAGCCCCACTAAGGTCATGTCGTGCCTGCTCCTGATCAGGAGGCAGGGGTCTCTTTTCCTGGGGTGGAAAGTGCTGCTGCTGCCGCCATGAGGATTAACAGTGAATGTCTTCACGTGAGTGATGTGTACTTAAAATTTTTTGATACAAATAGGGTGCCTAAGTCGGGTATGATCTGTGAGTACTGAAAGCATTGAAAATGTTCATATAAAAGCGCAGTTACAGCCGTTACTTCAGGCGAGTCTGAACCATTGTGCAAACAGCATCCTTACGAATCAGTAATTTTACTGGGGAGAAAAAAAATTTAAACGCCTCATTACAAAGAACTACTATTCTGACTGTTCCTGCACATCCTAAAATTAGTTTTAAACTTCAGCTGAAGGTCTCTGCCCTGACGCTGTCTCTGAATCACGTCGAAGCTTTTCTGCAGGTACCTTGTGAAAATGCCCTTCCTGTCCCTGCGGTGACTCAACGCTTCTCTCGAAGTCCCGAAGCAGGAACCCAGCTGGGTGGGTGCTGGGGCGCAGTGGAGCTTGTCCACAGGCAGATGCTGGTCGGGCCGAATGCGGAACTTGCAGGTGTCTTGGCAGGTGCCACCAAACATCAGAAAGTTGCTGCATGGGAACCTTTTTGCTTTCTGCTCCAAATGCTGCCCGCCTGGGCTGACTGATGCAGGAATCGCTGTCTGAATTCAGACTTAAAAGGCTTTTTCAGGCGGTGCTGGGCACCCTGACCATGCTGGCTCCCACTGCGGGTCGGCTGGGGGCTCAGCCCCAGGATGCCTCGGGGCTGCCGTGATCCCGGGGAGGAAAAGCAGGTTTTTGGCCTCTTGCTCCGCTCGCAGCAGGGCTGGTGGGTGGCTGCACAGGGCGACTGTAGCTCTGACGCTGCGCCCCAAGTAGGTGCAGATGCACATCAAGCCAAAGCCTTAATTTACTCCTCTATGGGGAACGGGACCCAAACCCCACGTCTTTTGTGCACTTTGTTTCGTCCTGTCTAGCCTGACCAAGATCATTGTGTTGAGGACTGTTGGCGAGGGTGGGTAGAGGTGGGTGAGGAAACGTGCTGTCCCCAACTCGAGTCAGGCTTTGGCAGTGCCATGAGGACAGCTCGGGGGACGGGACCTCGCTCACCTTGTCGCAACCAAAGACACAGGTGAACGTGCCCTCAGTTTGTTTGGCTGACAGAAAGCCCACGTTGGGGTGTGGTGTCCTTTCCTGGTTTTAACTTGACCTCGCTAAATGATCGCTTACGGAGCTAAAGAGCTATGTAGCATCTCGTAAAATGAAGTAAAGATTTGAAGGTTTCCAGGGAATCCTGTTTATAAGGGAAACAAAACTGTGATGGGGTTTAACCTTGTTAAGCTTGAATCCAGCTTGAGGCACTAGGACTTTGAGCTGCTGGCAAAGCAAGTTTTTGAGGTTCAGGGTTTTGTTTGACGCAGCAGGAAGCCTGTGAGCTTCTCGCGATGTGCGGTTGGGAGTGGGAAGTATTTGAAATGTGTCTACTACACGCTTTTTGTTTCTGCATTTTCACCAGTGCTTTCCTGTTAACAGGAACACACATCTAATTAGAGGGGAAAAGTACAAATAGCCATTTCCATCAACACATTAGTTTTGTTCCAAATAAACCCACAAAGTTCTCCCTTCCCAGCAGAGCACTGTCCTGTTCTGCTGTCACTGGGACTCTGCAAGATACTGTTTTTGGAAGCCAGTCTTGCAGAACAAGCACTTCCAGATTCCTCGTTGTTTTTACGTATCTCTTGCCGTAAGCCAAGTGAGTGACGAGATGAACAAAACACAAATGTAAAGCCTTGTAGCTTGGTGTTGTGTTCCATTTTGTTCTTTTAATCCCAGCACAGTTGTTCCTACTGCGTAATCCAGAGTGGTTTTTCTGAATGGTTCAACACCTGATTTGGGGATCAGGTTGAAATGATCTCCCTGCAACCAAATGGAAGGAACTGTGAATGCTGTGACGTAGCTTATGGGTGTAATCACCAAAATTTACTGTTTCAGATTTACCGAAATCCACTGTGTTTGCAATTGAGTTGTACAGAATTTTACTTTATAATCTGAGCGTAAACAATCAAGCGCAAGTCTGAAATACAAATGTTGGATATGTAAATATTGGAGCTCTGTCAATAAAAAGGATAAAAAGACTTGAGTAATGCATGTCTTACTGCTTGTTTTAGGCTCAGAAAGCATCCTCTGCCATGTGAGGTGGGGAGCTGGAGGTTCCTGTGGCTGCTCCTAAATCAAAAAGTCCTTTCTGTGGATTTTTCTTCTTCCAGCCAGCGGCGAGGGATGACGCCGGCTTGGATGAGTCCTAGAGCAGCCAGGGGCAGGTCAGGAGGACGCGGGTCCACAGCTGCAGGGGGGCGCGCGGGGCTGGCTGCGCGCTGCTCCTCCTGGCCCGAGCACCCACAGCCCCGAGGAACAGACGTGTCCCCCTGCTGCTGCCCGTCCCACGTGCGTGGGAGGAGGGAATGCCCCACTCTGCCCTTCCCGTACCTGGGCGGGCAAGCTGTGCCCCTTCAGCTGGTTCGTAGGAAGGGCTGCTGTCACCGCCAGGGGACCGGAGGCAGAGCCCAGGCCACTTCCCCCAGCCAAGGATGCTCTCCACCGCGGGCACAGTTTGGCTAGCAGCTAACAGCACCTCTGGGCCCGCGGTGGGTCCCAGGGGCCCATCCTCCCTTCTCAAAAATAGCAACAGAAGCAGCACGTGGGACCTGCAGCCTCCTGGCGGGGGGGGCTGTGCCCACCCTGTGCCGGGGAGCCCACGGGTTCCTCGCCCGCGGGCCCGG